CTATCTATCTATCTATCTATCTAGGCTATCTATCTATGTCTGTTACCTGACTCTGTCTTTCATTGTATGTCGATTAAAGAAAGCCTGATATATATTTCAAAAATGAATAATCAGTATGCTTACTGTAGGTCATAGGTAACATTTCATTCCAAAATTAGCTTATGCTGCATCATTAGCTGCAGTAGCCTTTAATGATCTTTCTGTTTTTCTCTAGGCTGTGCTTCATATATAGTATTATATTGTCTGCCATCCGGTCAATTTAACCCCATCTGTCCTTCAGATCACTCTAAACCTTTAGTCTAAAACAATAGTAATAATACAAAACAATAATAATAATAATAATAATAATAAATAGGCCTAAAATTCAGACCCCACAGGCTAGCATATAGCTTTACATACTCTAAAACTGTAACGCTACAATTGTGTTGTAGCTATAATCAAAGTTGCTATGGATGCAGGCTATTAGACGTCATTTTCCGAAAATAGATGTTAAATATGAGATAATAAAAGGCACCACTCTAAGAATGGTAGTTCAATCTTTCACTGGCAGGTGGCAGCCTGTTTCCTCCCCATCCCAACCTTCTCCTCACTCAGACCTGCTTTGCATACTTGAAGCAACCTTTGAAAAAATATTAGATAACGAGTCTAATACAACATAAAGGAAATAACCAGAAATAACCATATTTGGTCTGTAAACAATATTGACTTGACTTGACAATTTTGACTGCACTGCTTATCCATATAATAACACCACAGTTCCATCTGCTGGTTAGCATCTGTACAAGCATGAATTTTTCCTGTGAGATGCTGGTGTTCAAGACCACCGCATTACTCCATTCTCTGGCGAGAGATGTGACTCAGCATTATCAGAATAAATCAGGTGAACATACAGTAATTCACCACAAATTAAACTAATAGACTTACTTAAAACTATTAACGTATCATTTAAAAACGACCATTTTTCTTTTGCATTGGATGACAGTAATAACCATGGACCACTTCCGCGGCTTATTTGATAAACTCGACAAGAATAAAGACGGGTTTATATCTACAGAGGAGCTGCAGAGTGAAATGCGAAGGATAGGTGTGGAACCAGTTTGTGAAAAGGTTCAAGTAAGACTTCTTTGTGTGGAATTACATACTGATACATTTGTAGAGATGTAGCCAAAAGTATTCATATGTATCTGGATTACATTATTGGGTCCCACTTTATATTAAGTGGCCTTAACTACTATGTACTTACATCAAAAAATCAGTACAATGTACTTATATTGTGTTCATATTGTATTGCAAAACACTTTTGCTGCTATTGAGGTGGGATACGGGTAAGGTTAGGGACAGGTTTGGTGGTATGGATAGGTTTTTGGGTGGGTTAAGGTGTAAGGGATGGGTCAACTGTGTAATTATAAATGTAATTACAGAAATTAATTACAGATGTGATTACATGCAGGTATTTTTCAAATATAAGTACAATGTAAAAACATGTATGTACACAATAAGTGCATTGCACCAAATGATTAATTAAAATGTAAGTACATAGTAGTTAAGGCCACTTAATATAAAGTGGGCAGTAAATGCAATTCTTTCGTTTAGGCTATCATGTCCAGTTATGACCAAAATGAGGATGGACGTCTAAGCTATCAGGAATTTCTTATTTACATGATGGACAAAGAGAAGAAATGGAAAATAGATTTCCATGCCCTTGACAGAAATAAATGTGGTAAGCTGTCTGTGACAAATATCCATATTTTCTGTTTGAAACAGCTTTATGTTTTATATCTGGTCTTTGTTTAGAAGTGTAAAATGTGCTCTAGGTGCACAAAACAAAGTAACAAGAAAGTGGAAAAACTTTATTTGTATAATCTCATTTTTTATAGGGTCCATTGACCTGGAGGATATAATGTCTCTGTTTAAGGAATTAGGTTTGGTCATATCAAAACCCAACGCAAAGCGGATCATTCAAATGTAAGAGGCCTCATGGTGTTGCCTTCACATTTGCAATATTTTACTAAGTCACAAACATCAAGATCACTCCATGTGTGGCAGATACTTTGACATATAGCCTACAGGTTTATGTAAATCTCAAAGAGACTTTGTTTTCTGACACAGTTTAAAACCCATTTAATCCCACCGGTCACGATAGTGACCGTGCAAAAGGTTTTCATTTATAAAGCTCTAAAAACCTTATTGACTGATGTTTTAGTGCACTTCCTACAAATATGGAAAAAATAAAGGGTCTCAATTAAATATGTGCAGTTTCACATGGTTAGTGCAAATTGTCACATGACCAAAGAAGTTTATTTCCTGTTTGCGCCATGAGAAGGTGATGGCTGCATCAAAGCTCCAAAACAAAAGGCTAGTAAAGTATGTTAACATAAAGATATGACAAAGATTTTTGGTACACATTATCTTTGAGGTTTCTAGTATTAATACATGAATTCACATATAGTCAGTTTTGTTGAGTGGGGTCATAGAATGAGTAAACATCTTGATGGTCACAATAGTGACCTGTGGGATTACAGTGAATTTAGGTTTACAATATAAATCCAATAGCGGTTGTTAGTGAAAACTGCACTAAAATGTTGCAATGACAATCTATTGCACTAAATTAAAAGATCAAATGTTACAAATAAGTTACGATATTAATGTTGTAATACTGGTAGCACTAATATAAAAATGTGGTGATATATGTTACAAAAAAGTAACAATTTAGAAATACGGTGATGGTTGTATTTTTTTGTATTTTATCTCAGTATTCCTATCAATGCTGTTTAAAGGAACACTCCACTAATTTTGAAAATAAGCTCATTTTCCAACTCCCCTAGAGTTAAACAGTTGAGTTTTACCGTTTTCGAATCCATTCAGCCGATCTCCGGGTCTGGCGGTAGCACTTTTAGCTGCAGCTTAGCATAGATCATAGAATCTGATTAGACCGTTAGCATCTCGCTCAAAAATGACCAAAGAGTTTCTATATTTTTCCTGTTTATGAGCGATGATATTACGCAGTGCCTGAAAATAGTCCCCAGCTAGGTAACTTCCAATAAGTCTATTTTCAGGCACTGCGTAATATCATTGCGCCTGCTGCACCCATGGTACAGCAGCAAAGTTCCTTGATTATTACGCTGGAATGAGAATATAGTTCCTAGCCATATCGGCCTAGAAAATCGCAACTTTTCATTTTCCGTCGGTCTTAGTACACGATGTAACTACAAAAGTCAAGTTTTAAATAGGAAAAATATCAAAACTCTTTGGTCATTTTTGAGCGAGATGCTAACGGTCTAATCAGATTCAATGATCTATGCTAAGCTACAGCTAAAAGGGCTACCGCCAGACCCGGAGATCGGCTGAATGGATTCGAAAACGGTAAACCTCAACTGTTTAACTCTAGGGGAGTTGGAAAATGAAAAATCCTATTTTCAAAAATAGTGGAGTGTACCTTTAAGTTTTTTTTATGCATAATAGTAACCCTAGAATGTGATCAAACAGTTTAAAATAGCTGGGCTAAGATATATAACAATTTTTATGAGTGCAGAAATATGTTAATTCAGTACACACATTATCCCACTGGTCACAATTGTGACCGACCATAAAACAATTTTTCACACACTTTTCCAAAAGAAAGAAAAAAAAAAAAAGATTGATTATTTCAAAGGGTTACACATCATTTGGATATTTTCATGTCTGGGAAAAATTTGGGATTAATTGGGTTAAGTTAAATCCATGACATGCATGCGTATTTGTATTGATTATGTTATTAATCAGCTAGATCATTAACGTTAAATTCTGATTGTCATTAGGATGGATGAAGACAACTCTATGACGGTAGACTGGGAGGAATTCCTCCAGCACGTCATCATTAACCCAGCAGAAAACATTGGAGAGTTGGTATCTTCCTGGAAACATAACCTGGTAAAAACCAGCTTTTAAATACTTAAAAAATACATTTAAAGACATACTTCACATAAAAGGAAAATTCTCTCAATATTTACTCACCCCCAGTGTCATCTCTGATGTGTAAGACTTTATTTGTTCTGCAGAACACAAACAAAATATTTCAGCTTCAGGAGTGACATTTAGGTGTGTCCCCTCAAAAGTGATTAAATCGCCTCGGCATACACTAATTAAACCACTGGAGCCATATGAATTGTTTATACATGCCTTTATGTGCTTTTTGGAGCTTCAAACTTTGTATGCAGACTTTGCGTGTCGATTTCAATCTAAAAGTCATTGTGTTCTGCAGAAAAGTTGTACATAAGTGTGACATGAGTAAAAGATGAAATAGTAATTTTTAGTGAAACTATTACTATTTTGCACATATACATTTAATCTGCAATGTTCATAACCAGGTTTATAAAAGGAGGTTGTCTTTTTAGGTGTTTGATGTAGGAGAGAGTCGCTCTATGCCTGTTGAGTTAACCCAGCAGGAGACTGACCTGTCTATCTGGGGGAACTTTATATTGGCCGCAGGATTGGCAGATGCTGTGTCTAGAACTGTGACAGCACCAATAGACCTGTTAAAGACACGACTTCAGGTAGTTTTTGTTAGTCATGACAACATTTTTTTACTATACTTGTTGAATTCACTTTATTGTCTTTAAAGGGGTGGTTCATTGTGATTTCACTTTTTTAACGTTAGTTAGTGTGTAATGTTGCTGTTTGAGCATAAACAATATCTGCAAAGTTACAAAGCTGAAAGGACAATGTAAACCGAGATATCGTCTTTTTAAAATTCTGTCAGTTTAATGCCTACAAAAACGGCTGGTAGGGACTACAACGAGTTACTTCCCGGGTTCGTGACATCACAAACCCAGATAAAACCCGCCCTCGGGAAAAGGCAGCAAAGGGGGCGAGGCCTGCACTGCTTTAGAGAAGAGGAAGAGAAAACTAGAGGTACACGTAAAAATCTGTTCATATATGAATCGCGATTCTGTCTTCTAAGGATTCTAATGGATTCACAAGTTTCAAAATCAATGTTCTAAAGCAGCGGTTCTCAATCATGTTCCTCGTGTCCCCCTGCTCTGCACAAGCTCTGCTCTCTCGCTCTCTCTCATTCAGCTCAGCTCCGACAATAAACTGTTCCAATTATACACTTATTTTCAGGTGAGGGGCGGGATGTTTAGACGCGCACTAGAGGCGGTTTAGCCAATCACAACACACTGGGCTAGCTAACCAATCAGAGCCCATCGCCTATTTCTGAGGGCGGGGCCTCATAAAAACAGGAAAAGATCAGCCCGTTTCTCAGAGAAGGGACAGAGCGGTGCGGAAATAAAGGTAAACTATGTGAAAAATAATGTGTTTTTTTTAAACAAAGCATTAACACATGTTAGACTGTACCCCATAAACACAATCAAGCCTAGAAAAAACCCAGTGAACCACCCCTTTAAGGCTTTTCACACTGAACTTAACCCCAGGTTATCTTTGTTCTAAACCCTACTTTTAACCCTGTGTAGTGAAACGTCTCACTCTTGTAATTCCTGGGGTTATGAAACCCTGCACTGGAACAGGATTTATACATTGTATCAACAGTCGTTTCAGCGTTTATGGGGAAAGATATCAAATGGTGATGGAAAATGCGTCAACTGGAGTGAAGACACGCTTTAATTCTTATCTCTATTCAGGAAAAACCGGATGGCATTCAGCTATATATAATGTGAAAATGTGCCATTCTAGAGCTGTTGTGTAAACAGGTCAAGTGCTGCATTTGTCCCATCAAAGACACTGCAAATATGCAAATAAGAATTGAATAGGCTAGGAATTAATGTCAGCTGTGAATGTCAGCATATAATTGTAAACCCTAGAGTTGTATTTGTAAAAGATAACCTAAGTGTTTACTTGGGGTTCAGGATGACCCATGGTTAAATATTTCAGAAGCGAAAAGCCATTTTGATTGTAAAATCAAAGGAAATAAAGTATGATAAAGTAATAATAATAAATAAATTATGAAAGTGTTAGTGCAACTAAAGATACACCTACTGTACAAGAAATGATGATGACTCTGTAATATTTTAGTTTTATTTTGCCAGAAAAGAAAAAGAATATACTTTACATCATCATTTCTTGTAGGTGTATCTTTAGTTGTATTGCAAGCACTTCCTGCATTTATTTGCCTCTTTATGATGAGTCGCTTATTGTAATCCTCAATTGTAAGTCGCTTTGGATAAAAGCGTCTGCTAAATGAATAAATGTAAATATGCATTTACAATTTACGTTTACATATAGGCCAGACAACCCGGGTGAACAGGGCGAAAAATGTAACTAATAGATACTGTCAAACGTCCCCAGCTGATTGATTTCTTTAAGAATTGCAAGCATTTTTTTTGTTGCTTGTGTTACAAGTTTTCTCAAATGTTTAAATGCGCAATTTGGGCATTTTCTAATTAAATATGCATTAATTTACATTTTGCATACATTTCCATAACAATACATTTTCTGAACATTGCATCAAGCCAGGTTCAACAATATCACACAATATCATAAAGACACACTCATTTTGAATTTTGTTAGATCTTTCAAATCAAAAGTCTCAAGTACA